AAGGATCCAGATGTCTGGAAGTTTACTTTGGGCAGACTTGAGCCCATGAGATCCAATTCAATTCCATCTCAGAAGTAAAATGTTGCCATGCAGAAAATATTCTGCTCATTTAGACTTAGGCCAGGATATAATTCTTCCAAATTTGCCAGAGATCTACAGGCTTTTTTTTTTTTTTTTTACCAGAGAAAGAAAGAGGTATGTGTTTAGAGAACCAATCAGAATCAAATCTTCACCCAAGAAGCTCTGTATAAACATTAACTTGGCTATACAGCCTTCATCCAGCTGTCTCTTTTCAAATTTACACAGGCAAAAAAAAAAAAAAAGATGTAAACTAAAAATATCACAATAACTGGAGGCTGACATCTGCAATCCTCTTCAGTTGAAGCATCCAAGTCAATGCAACAAATATTTACATTAAGAACTGAAATGTTAGGAAATAGTTCAAAAAATTTGATAGGGCTAGATATTAACAGACATCTCCAAAGTGTCCAGTGCACATAACATAGAATATAGAATACATTATCGATTAATTATCTGCTTTCTGACATCCTTCACAGAATCCCTAATAGGAATGCCCTTATGCCATGCCAGTCAGCATAAAGCCAGAAATCAGCAGGACAGAGAAAGTTGACCAAAGCCACTACATTTCTGCCTTTCTGTCCTGCCAAGCCATGGGACTCTTCCTCTCTCCAACAGCACTATCCCCCCTCACCCTCACCATCCAGGGAGTCCAGGCACAATGAGGGACTGGATCTGATTCATACTCCTGAATAAATGTCCAGGGGCCCCAGAAGACAAAGAAGCACAGGATAATGATATTAAAAAGCAATGCCACATGCCAGAAAATTTTAATTTCTCTTTTTTACTTTAAGATAATACAGGACTCTTAAATCTGATGAATTTTAAGTTGTGCCAATATTCAATCTAGCGAATTACGGCAAAACAGAACTATAACAACAATAGAATGAAAACCATAACAAAAACCCACATTATCTGAATAATCCTCACCATCAGTATGAACAAGCACCCAAGATACTGGATGGTCGTGAACCCCTATGCTTTGTTTTGGCAGAGTGGGTGTAACATTTTGCCACATTTGTTCTCTCTCGCTGCTGATCAGAAGTCATTAATAAGATGTAACGCTATATAGTATACGTATCTTGACAGCAGAGAAAGCATTTCAACTGGGAACTGCGGAAGTTTACTTACCAGCACACCAACTAATTTTACATGAGAATCCTGAGCTCAGAATTAATCATTACTATCTCTGCAATCTCGTCTTTTATTTATATCTTCTCATAACACTCACATTTTGCATCGTGATTACTTGTGCTTGTGTCTGTCAGTGCCACTAAATTGTGAACCCCTTGAGAGCTGAATCTAGGTTTTGTTCATCTTGTGTTCATCTCTCAAGGCCTAGGGCAGAGTTTTGTGAACACTAGATGAATAATAAATGTTGAATGAATGAATGAATGAACCAAGTGCCCAGAAAAACTAATGACAACACTACATACTGTCTATAGAGAATCCGTTCCAATTGACGTGTGTGTATTTGTTATCTGTGGATCAAAGGAAACCAACTACATCTGAGAGTCTGTCAGTATTTTAAATCAGTTGTCACATTCTTATTTCTCTCCAGTATACCCCCCAAACTTCTGTGAATGGCAAACCTGATTGTTGTCAATAACTTTTAAATAGAAACATCTGTGTATGTGGGAAGTGGCAAGTTAGTAAAAGATATAATGTAAATATAATACAATATTAAGTATCGTAAAGAAATAACATCTGTTCATTATTTTTTATACATTGTAGCATTTTTCTTTTTGTGAAATGTAGTCTGTTGTAATCTCCTCTAGAGAGGGACTAGGGTGGTTAGCTTTCTGTCTCAAAGCTGGTATGTCTGAAAAATGCCTTGTTTCACGTTCGCATTTGAATGCTAATTTGGCTAGATACAGAAATCTCCATTCAAAGTCCTGTTTTGTTTTGTTCTGTTTTGTTTTTCAGCACCAGAGGCCCAGAGGTTCTTGTTTTCAGAGGTTGATGAGAAGTCTGCTCTAAATCAGATTCTTGATTGTTAATGATATTTTTCTTCTCTGATAACTTTTGGGATTCTTTTCTATATTTTGAGGTCCTAAAATTTTTCTACAGTATTATACAGCTTAGCACATGGTAACCGTTTCATTCTGAAGTCTTTTTTTTTTCCTTTTTTTTTTTAGTTCTAAGAAATTCTTAGATATTATTTCTTTAATCATTGGCTCCGCTGTGTTATCTCTATTTCTCCTTTATAAACTTCTCTGTGTTAGATATTGGTAAAGCTAGAGCTATTTATGATTCTTTTCTTTTAAACTTTCTCTTTACCCTTTCATCTTATGTTCTGGAAGAATTCCTTAGCCTTGCTCTTCCTAGCTGACTAATTTGCCCCTCTGTTTTTTCATTCTGCCCTTGAGCCATCCATTAAGTTCTTAATGGCAACAATTATATTTCTTCATTTTTCAGATTTCCTCTTGAGTCTGTCTTTTATAAAAAATAAAGATCCTATTGTTTCATGGATGTATTGCCATCTTTTACATCTCCAAAGATATTAATCACTCTTCCTATCATGTTTAGTTCTGAAGCCCTCTCCAAGCTGTAAAGACTCTTGTTCTGGTCTTTCTCCAAGTCCTATTTCTAGTTGTTCCTGACTGTGAGCTCATCTTTTCTAGACTCTCCATGGTCTCAGCTTGGGCAGCCAGTCCTGGAGGAGGGGCTGAGCAGTGGTGGGTGCTTGTGCTCCTTGCTGTTTTCAGTGGGAACAGGGGACAGGCAAAGCTGAGGACAGCTGCTGGCTTCAGAGCTTGTCTGGTCCCCAATTTGTCCTGGATGTCATCAACTACCTGTAGCCTTTCCCTATTTCTCCATCCTAAACTCTGACGTAAACACTGGATAGAGGAGGGAAGAAGGGGTGCACAGGGATTCACAGGACAAACTGCTCCCACTATCAGGGCTCTACCAAACCCTCACGGGCAGTCTCCAGCTCTCTCCTGCTCCAGGGTGCCAGCATGCAGAGACGTGGCTTTTCTGGTCCGCACCTGGTGGCTCTCGGTCAACCCCACCCTTCAATCTGCTAGGAATTCCTTGAAGCCTCTAGTCCCTTGAGAGGTTTATGTCTTATTCCTAGGTATGGCTAGAGATTCAGATGTTTCTTTGTATCAGTTCTATAATTCCTCAGATGTGGTGCAGTGGAGGGAACGGTCATCTTGAAACTACCACATGCATTATCTTATCCTTACATGGAGCCTCCTACGCAACAGATAGGATATACTGGAATTGGAGAAAACTCTGGTACTTATTTGATATGTTGGCCATTTCCCTTTATACTCTTGGATCCTATTTCTGTTTTTCCCCTCTTTGACCCTGCATCACCGGAAACTACATTCCCTGACCCTCCTAACACCTGGTTTCTGGGCCAGTTCAGCCAATGGGGCCGCGGGTGGAAGACCAGAAGTGGTGTGAGAGAGAAGCTTGGGCTCCCTGCCAGGATGACACCTCTGATAACACCTGAGGCTCTTCGGTGGCCCCAGCACTCATCATGGGCTAGCTCCTCTGGTCAGCTCTAGTCTTAGACATTAGTTAACACAAGCTTCTACCATCCTCTCTCCACTCCCAGGGGTGTAGGCCCCCTGCTGTTCCTGATCTCTGGGGTGCTGTGTATTTCCTACAATACCACCTCCTTACAACTGATTTCCTATGTTAAACTCCTTTTGTTGGGAGGCCTAGGATGGTTTTGTTTTCCTGGCTGAACCCTGACTTGAAGATCAAAATTCTGAAGAGACATCTCAGATCACAGATGTCATAATTGGTATAATAGAAGACGATAATTGGTAATTCCTTTCTTTGAGGGGAAGGGGGCATCAGAGGGAAGTAATACTTAACTTGGAGAAGTTTCTCTGAAGTTTCTCTGTATCTAAGCTATCCCAAGTTATTTCAAGGAGTGACAGGGAATTCTTCAAAATTATTTTGGCAATATATTTCACTTTAATTGCATATATGCCACAAAGTGAATTTGCAAGGAAAGCCTTAGGAGCCTCTCCTATTATTAAACACAGTGTTCTAGAATTACGAAATGGTATCCTAGAGAAGTGAAAGCTTTGATTATAGCAGAAACCTTGCTTAAGGCTCCTCAAGCTTTAGGCCTACCTCTGGGCACAGCCATGAAGTAGTTTAAAGAAAATACTTTCATCATCTCTATTATTTACCATTTTCTCTGTTGGGAGAGGACTAGGTGAAATGATACTAAACCCTTAAAAAAATCTCGTGTAGCTCTATTTCTCATTTGGAAATTGAGAATATCACTGCCTTCTAAGCCCAGCCCATTATTATCACTCCACAAATGCTTTGTGAGCTGCACAGAAACAACAAGAAAGCCCACCACTGTGGCTCATGATCAGAGAGAGAACGAGAGCCACACCATGTCCCCGATATGCCACATGGCTGCAGGTATAAAAGGCCCTGAAAGATGCTGCCGCTGGTAGAAAAGCCCTGAATCCCTGCTTTCATTCCCATTTCCAGTGTTTGAACAATAATATATGGGCCATCTATTTATTAAAGGAGAGAGCTACATTGGCATGGGATAAATTGGTGCTTGTAGCAAGATGCTTTTTAATACAAAGGATGTTTCTTGAATTCCTTTCAGATCTGAGATCCGCAGCTTATGAGTGTTTGGTGTGTATGTTTTAAAATTACATGACTATTATACAAGCCCTTCTCTTCAGCTGGCATGAGGAGGATATTCCCACCCTTTATAGGCTCTGTTCTCTACTCCCTCAAAGCTGAGGCGGCAAAAACCCTGCCAACCTTATCCAGCTTTTCGTGGAAAGCTGCCACTCTTAACTGGCGCCTAAATGCAATTTCAGACTGTCCCAGGAGACCTTCATGCTTTGAGGTGAATTCGTAACATTAGGGCCAACAAAGAAGTTAACACAAATTTCCACTGTTAAAGACACAGAAACAAGTCTGCAGGCTTACTGAAGCAGCTCTGCGTCTGTGAGCACCTCTGTCCTCTGCTCCCCAGTGACAAGGGCCAGTTCATCCTTCAGTTCCTGGATTTCTTTTTGTAGGCATATAATCATCTACAAACGGCAAGGCGGGAGAATAAATGTCAACTCCTCATTAAAGGGAACTTGGGGGACAGAGAACATACATCTTTGAAAATTACAAACAATTTTGAGGATACAAAAAACATCCAGAGAATGATTTAAAAGCCACCCCTGTGTACCTACCACCAGCCTTTGTTAAATCTTAACGTTTTGTCAAAATCATTCTAGAATTCATTTTAGCAAATAAAACAGTGCTTGTGTAACTGGAGCGCCTAATTCCTATTCCCTTTCTGTCTTTCCTGGGGTGATCACGTACTGCATTTAATGGGGAGCATTTCCCTGCATGTTTTCATATGTTTACTCCATCTGTATGGATGTAACTATAAATAATAGATGGTATCATTTTGCATGCTTTAAACTCTATGTAAATGTTACCATGCTGCATGGAATGGTAACTTGCTTTTTTTCTTCCTCGCATTATGTTTTTGAGATTCTTTATACTGCTTCACGTAGCTCTAGTTCACTAATTTTCACGGATATATACTGTTTCAGTAAAGGAATATATCACAATTTATCCATGTCTCCTGTCAATGGACATTTAGGATTTTTACCTTTGCTATCACAAACAGTGTTGCTGTGAACACTATAAATCTCTGGGCACATATGTGAGTTTCGCTATAGGGTGCACTTAGAAATAAAACCGTGTGGTTGTAGAGGCTGTGCATCGTCCCTTTAACATATATTGTTAAACTGCTCTTCAGAGTAGTCGTATAAACTTACATTCTGTATCAGCAATATATGTAAGTTCCCGTTTCCCCACATTTACTTCACTACGTATGTAGTATTGACAGACGCTTTAATTTTGACAGTCCAGAAGGTGTAAAATGGTACCTCATTTAGTCCTAATCTGCATTTTCTGATTATTAGGGAGGTTGATCATCTTTGCACATGGATATTGGCTGCTTGGGTTTCCTTTTCTATAAATTACTTATTCATATTCTTGCTCATGTTTCAATTGAGTTGTTTTTCTCTTCCTTATTGATCAGCAGGCTTCTTTATACATGAATCCTTTGTTAGTTTTATGCAAGGTACATGTTTTCTCCCAATCTATGCCATGTTTTTCACTTTTTTAAAGATTTTATTTATTTGTCAGAGAGAGAGAGAGAGAGCAGAAGCAGGGGAAGCGGCAGGCAGAGGGTGAAGCAGACTCCCCGCTGAGCAAGAAGCCGGATACTGGGCTGGATCCCAGGACCCCAGGATCATGACCTAAGCCTAAGGCAGATGCTTAACCAACTGAGCCACCCAGGCGTCCTGCTTTTTGTCGTGTTCTTTCTGTTAAGTGAAGATTTTAAATTTCAATGTAATTTTATTATCAATTTCTTCCATTATGAGTTGTTTTTGTGTCTTCTTAAAATCTATTTTACCTAAAACCATAGGAATAGCTTCCTATGTGTTCTTATAAAAGTTTTAAAGCTTTGCTTTTCACATTTAGGCTTTTGTTTTGTATAAAGTATGAGATATGTATCTAATTTTATTTTTTTATATGGCTAACCGTGTAAGATTTGCTATTATAATTCTGTTATATAACATGTTTCTACATATAAATGTGTCTTTTTCTGGGCTCTTAGTTAAAAACATTTATGTACTTGACTATATGTGCAGCAATACTATGCTATTTTAATTATTATATCTTATGAAATTTTGACATTTAGATAGAATAAGGCCCTTCCATTTTATTCTTTTCCAAAATAGATATGGCTGTTCTTGGTCATTTGTTCTTTTGTATAAGTTTGAGACACAGCTTGTAAAATTCCACCAAAGGTCCTCCTCAATTTTTAACTGGAAATAAATTTGATTAAAAGGGTAATCTGGGGGGCACCCGGGTGGCTCAGTTGTTTAACTGTCTGCCTATGGCTCAGGTCATGATCCGGGGATCCTGGGATGGAGCCCTGCATCGGGCTTCCTGCTCAGCGGGGAGCCTGCTTCTCCCTTTTCCTCTGCCTGCCCCTCCCCCTGCTTGTGCTCTCTCCTTGTCAAATAAATACATAAAATCTTTTAAAAAAAGGGTCATTTGGTAAGACATATCAAATTAGTGATGTTGAATCATCTCATCCATGAACATAGTATGGCTTTCCACTGATTCCTTTCAATAAAGATTTATCATGTTCTCTATAAATATATGTTTAATTAGATTTTTTTCCTAGAATGTTAAAGTTTTTATTGCTATTATTAATGAAATTTTTGTAAAATTACATTTTCTAATTGTTAGCTTTTGATTTATAGGAAGGCAATTAATTTTTATGTATGGATTATGTACCAAATAATTTTCTGAACATTGTTTTGGTTCTGTTTATCATTAAATATTTTTAGATGTTCTATATAAGCAATCAAATTGTTTGCAAGTAATGACAGATGTTTTCTTCTTTTCAAATCCTCATACTTTTTTTTTTTTAATTGTCTCTGTCCTAGCTAGGACTTCCAAGTATAATGCTTCAGATATTGATTCTTATCTTACTCCTTCTAACATTTCACCTTCAAAATGTTTGCTGTAGTTTTTGGTTGATACCCTTAATCACTTTAAGGCTGTTCACTGATATTCATAGTTTGATGAGTCTTTTCAAACTATGGGTGAATGTTTAATGTTAAAAATACTTTTTCTGCATCTAGTGATGTGATCATATAAGTTTTCTCTTTTCAACTGTGAATGTGACGAATCACCTTGATTCAAGTGATTTTTTTTAGCATGAACTACTTCAGATATACAAAAAGATATAAAGGATATCTTGTGAACCCACTACTTAGCTTAAGTGAATATCAATATACCTACTATGTAGCTTAAGAAATAAAACCTTACAGATGCTTTTGAAGCCTGAACCTCTGTATAGCCTTCTCTAAATGAATCCCCCATTACCATTACCTGAAATTTGGTGTTTATTTTTCCCATGGCTCTTTTTCTTTTACTATATACACTAACATGTTTTCTAATGATACATTATCTTTCAATTCCCAAAGTAAACCCAACTAGCTCATGATACCACATATTGTATTAATAATCATAATGCAAAGTTCCTAAAACAAGAATTGGCAGACTGAATTCAATTTATATTCTTCCTTCAATATTTGGTAAACTTAAAAAAAAACATGGAGTCTGCTCCATCCTTCCTTCCTTCCTTCTTTCTCTTCCTCCCTCTCCCTTTCCTCCCCCCTTCCCCCGTTCCTTCTTTCCTCTTTCTCTTTTTCTTTCTCTCCTTTTGGTAGCTTTGTTATTATTGAGTCTATTAGTCATAGATATATTCATGTTTTTAAAAATTCTTCTTAAAATATAAAATAATAAAATAAATTGCATTAGCTTCAGTGTTATGTTTTTATAGGAAATTGTCCATTTTGTTTGTTTTTAAATTTACTGCCATAAAGTCTTTCAACATACTTTATTATTATTTTAAGCTATCTACTGTACCTATAGTTAAGGCCTCTTTTCATTCCAAATACTGTGTGGATTTCTGCCTTCTTTATTCTTTTCTTCATTAATTTTCCCAGAGATTTTTTCATTTTATTAATAGATTAAAAATCAACTTCAGGTTTGGTTACTCCTCTCCACTGTATCTTTGCTTTGGGTTTTGTTTTCGCTCATTTTTACACTTTTTAATTCCTGTCTTTCTACTCTTTTGGATTTATTTTATTGGTCCTTTATCTAACTTCTTGGCTTGAAGTCTACCAGACCAAGGGAGTTTGTAAATTTGAACTTGAAACCCATGGGAAGCAGAGCCTTAGGATTTCAAATTTCCAGAGAAACCACCTTTTGCTCCACCTGAAGTTCAGGTTAAGGCAGATAAGCTTCCCTAGCATCTTCCTGTGCCAGTGGGCAGATTTTTTCCTTTCTGGCTCACCCTTTCACTGGTTTTATGTTGGGAAGTAGAGAGGATGTCATGGGTTCATCATCCATCTTCCAAGATTCCAGGGCTCCAACTTTGATGCCTTTCTTACAATTCCCTTCATCCCTTTACTCCAGGACAACTGCAGCTTCAGCTTGGTTTCTGGGCCCTGGAGAATTACATTACCTTATTCAACCTCAGACATATATTTCAAAAGTGCTTGTTAAATTTTATATATAGGTGGAGTTCATATTATCTCTGCCACATTGACAGGACCAGAAGTTACAAAGAATAGGATACTGAGTATTTTGAACATGTCAGTCCTCCTAGAATTTCATTTAAATGCACAGGATTGAGTGGGTTTTCGTTGTTTGCTTCTTTTCAAAAACATGCTCAGAATCATCAAGCTCTGCAGAGTGAAAATCCTTAGACAGGAACTATGTGAGTCATTCATTTGTATCCCCCCCCCCCACTAAATTAATATTGATGCCACATTTTCTACTTCTGCTAAGGCTTTCAAAGTCAAATCTAACAACCAAATTAACTTCTGTCACTGAACAGAAATCTCAAAACTAAGCCAACTTTTCATGATTTTGAGATTATTACACTTAATATTTGTATAATTTGTATATTATACAAATATAAATAATGTATATTTAATGTACATAAATATACATTATTTACATAATGTATATTTACATTACATGCATGTAAATATAACTGGCCACGACTGTGTCGCACGCATCCCACTCACACCTCCCATCAAATTACTGTAGAAACTTTGTAAGGAGAGCCATCCTTAGAAGATTTTTTTTAAAGATTTTATTTATTTATTTGAGAGAGAGAGTGCACAAGAGCGGGTAGGGTTAGAGGGAGAAACAGACTCCCCACTGAGTAGGGAGCCCGATGTGGGACTCGATCCTGGGACTCCAGGATCATGACCTGAGCCAAAGGCAGTTACTTAACCAACTGAGCCACCCAGGCACCCCTGTCCTTAGATTTTGGCCCATACGAGTCACGAAAGACTCTGGCCTCTTTACAATCCTTTTATCACCTTGTCTTACTGAGGTATTAAAACTTGTAAAGAAAGCAAGTCAAAACCCTGGTGATCCTGATCTTAGAGGGCTGGTTCCATATGTGCCATTGGATTTTGAGAGCAAGATATTGGAAATCCCATCCAAGTTGTGTTTTGGGTGGTTTTGAGGACAAATTTGCAATTGCCACCTGTGCTTCAGAAAAGCTCTGTCCATAAAGTCATGAACAGTAATGTCAGTTTTTAGAAGCCATTATAAAAGAGACCAGGAGATAATACTTGTCAATTACCAGATTGTTCTGCACCAGGAAGATCTCAATATATATATATTTTTACCTACAAATCTTATTTTATTTTATTTATTGTTTAGATTCAATTAGCCAACATATAGTACATCATTAGTTTCAGATATAGTGTTAAATAATTTATCAGTTACATATTACACCCAGTGCTCATCACCTCACAAATAAAACTGGACCATTTTCTTACACCATACACAAAGATAAACTCAAAATGGATTAAAGACCTCAAGGTGAGACAGGAATCCATCAAAATCCTAGAGGAGGACATAGGCAGTAACCTTTTCAACATCAGCCACAGCAACTTCTTTCAAGACATGTCTCCAAAGGCAAGGGAAACAAAAGGAAAAATGAACTATTGGGACTTCACCAAGATAAAAAGCTTCTGCACAGCAAAGGAAATAGTCAACAAAACTAAGAGGCAACCCACGGAATGGGAGAAGATATTTGCAAATGACATATCAGATAAAGGGCTGGTATCCAAGATCTATAAAGAACTTAAAAATTCAACACCTAGAAAACAAATAATCCAGTCAAGAAATGGGCAGAAGACATGAACATTTGTATGTCTTTCCAAAGAAGACATACAAATGGCCAACAGACACATGAAAAAGTGCTCAGTGTCACTTGGCATCAGGGAAATATAAATGAAAACCACAATGAGATACCACCTCACACCCGTCAGAATGGCTAAAATTAACAAGGAAGACCTCAATATTTGTTCAATTAACAGCTGTCAGCTTTGATTCAGGTTTCCTTCTTCTTTACATTTCTTGCAGCCCTACATCAAACACATGACAACGTTCACCTTTTTTCACATTCCTCAAGTACCCTCAAAGTTTCTCTAGCCAAATTTAAAGAAAAAAAACCCTCCAGCATTTAATATGTTCATTTTCCTTCAATTATGCACTAATTTTTGTTTTCAGGCTAACAACTCATGGCTGTCTTTCTCAGGCTGTGATGCTACAGGGCTGCTTGCTGGTGAGGCAGGGATGGCAGAAGAAGTCACCCTATGAGTTCCCTTCCACTTGACTCATGCCTTAGAATTCTGACTCCTTCTTCCAGCGGGGGCACTGTGTGACCAGGGCCTGTGCTGCAAAGAGGCCCTGCCTCACCCACTTGGTTTCTCCAGAAGAGATTTCCATCTGGGCTGCTCAAGCTCCTGAGGCAAGCGGGATAAAACAAGTAACCACATTATTCTTTTAACCTTGTCTCTATACTTCAGCGCAATGATTTCAGGGAGACAGGGCAAACAATCAGAAGGAAATAATTAATATGGGTAACAGTGAATTTGAGAAGGTTATTATTATTATTATTATTATTTTGGAATTTGAGGAATTTATAAATGAAGCAGTGTTGGTGAGATTTCACACCCTTTTTTATAATGTGTACTGCTAAGCCTACACTAGCTTATGTTCTAGAGAAAATTTTAAAAGCTGAGTGATTTGAAAAGTAATATAATCTTAATTTGGGAATGTACAAAATTGAAATATTTTATTTCTACATTTTCAGTGTTGGCATAAGTTGATTCCATGTTGTATTTCATTTAGAGAAGACTAACAAAATAGAGAGAAAACATCTGCATTTAAAATGAGGATCTGAGTCATGGAACTTGCAAATATTTTTGCTTTAAAAAAGCACTCTGATAAAGCAGGATTCATTGTTATAAAACTAGAAGTTTGGCTATTTTTCCATGGACCCAACCAATGATTAATTTTTTTAAAGATTTATTTATTTATTTTGGGAGAGCAAGAGAAAGCAAGGGAGCAGGAGAAGGGGCAGAAAAAGAGAGAGACAGAGAATCTTAAGCAGACTCCTCACTGAGCACGGAGCCCAACACCGGGCTCAATCCCACGACCCTGAGATCATGACCTGAGCTGAAATCAAGAGTTGGATGCTTAACTGACTGAGCCACCCAGGCACCCCAATGATTAATTTTTTTGTCTCTAAAGTAAGTAAGAGGACAGTTGTGCAAAATACGGTTCTACTTAATAACCATTAAAACTTCTTTTTCTCTGTTAGCTTTTATAGAAGATGGTCTATTATTATTATCTCTAGAAACTTAAACTGATGTTTTCTGAAAGGCTACTACCTGCATGTAAATATAACTGGCCACAATTGTGTCGCACGCATCCTCAGGACTCATTTCATTATCCTAGGAGCAGACTGATGGGACTGCAGGCGGCAGGTCCTTGCATCAGACCGTCTGCACCTGAATCCTGGCTCTGCCACTTGTGGAGGCTGTGACTCTCAACAAGTTAGTTAACATTTCTGTGCCTCAGTTTTGTCATCTATAAAGTGGGAATGGAGATGACATCTACTCATAAGCTTCTTGTGAGAATTTAATAAATTGATATGTTTCCAAAACTTAGAACACTGCCTGGTATGGAGGACGTGCCCCTCAAGTTTTACTAATCTTTGATCCACTTTGATTTTTCTTCCAGACTCGTAAGTTCAAAGCTGCTTACCAATTTAGGATCGATTTCTTCATTAAGAACAGCTTCATTCTTTATGAGCGCCACTCGTTGTGCAAATCTGCAGGTAGATATCGACTCCTATAAAGCAAAATAACTCCTTAAACTGTTATGGCTTAGAGAGCTAAACCTTAATTTTTGTTCACAGAAGAAAGAAGCACATCTAAAGAGTGATGTGTATAAAACACAATGAGGGAACATACCTCCAAATTAGGAAGCTTTGCTCTAGAATATCAGTTTTATTAAAATTTTATTTTGGCCTAATAAAATGATCCATGCCAAACATGTGGGAGATCATGAGGTCCTACATGGTGACTGTATGTAGTTTTCAACTACTAATCTATGAAACCAGAGCCACATATATGTCATAATCATAGCAGATACTATTATAATCCACAAACCTGAATGACTACAAAATAAACATTTGTAACAGGCCAGAAAGAGGCTTTGTGAGACATCTTAGAATGCACTTAGGGAGGGGGCGCCTGGGTGGCTCAGTTGTTAAGCATCTGCCTTCGGCTCAGGTCATGTTCCCAGGGTCCTGGGATCGAGCCCCGCATTGGGCTCCTTGCTCTGCGGGGAGCCTGCTTCTCCCTCTTCCACTCCCCCGCTTGTGTTCCCTCTCTTGCTGTCTCTCTCGCTGTCAAATAAATAAATAAAATCTTTAAAAAAAAAAAAAAAGAATGCACTTAGGGATTAGCCTTGTTTTGGAAGACACCCTGCCACTTCTTGTTTTCCTCTTCTGGAGAAAGTCTGGATCCCAAGCATTAGACCGTGGTGCATAAAACATGAAGCTGAGTCTAAAGCAGCCCAAGAAAGCCAGTCAGTAGCCAGCCCTTGAGCTGTACTCAGCGACAGGTCTAGGGACACATCCTAGAGATGCCTCCAAGGTATCTTAGTAATCAGGAGCTAAACAGAACAGAAGCTAATGGGTCTCCTCTCTCATGTCCTCTGGCCAAGATAACTAACCCAGCAGCAGGCTTTCCAAAATTTGTGTCTGAGCCTTCTTCCCACCATCCTGGGCTGTGTGAAGTCCATTCTTAAATGGGGGTAATTATACCGCTGGCAAACCAGCCAAAGCTGTGAACTCTGTAGGGTGTTTACATCTCAGAGCATACCCCAACCCAGCTGAAAAGATGGAAACCCACCCAGGACCCTCAACGCCATCTCATAAACTAGCAACAGAAACTCAGACTGAGATCTCCAGAAAGAACCAACATACGTCGATATTCCTTTTCTCTAAAGAGAGTGTTGCGATCATGGTCGTCATGCAGTTCCCTCCCAAACTGTCTCTTAGGACACTGGTCATCATGGAGTTCCTGTAGGGAATGTGTGCACGGTGTTTTTCAGAAAGAGCAATGATCACCTGTGGCATGGTAGAAAAATAATGGCATTAGGTTAGCAGACAATGCACATCTGGAGCTCAGCTAAGCTGCAACTGCAGTGAAAATTCAAACAGAAAGCATAACTGAATGCAGGGTAACATCTAAAACTTGGGCTCAAAATAAATATCTTAACATGATTTGGTACAATAATGGTAGAGATGGAGGGAAGTAAACTTAGCAAAAACATACCACTGTGAACGCTGTAATTTTTGGACAGATGATATAACTTGGCATAGAATAGGATACATTATTATCTTGTCTTCAGCCATTGGAAAATTCATGTAAAATTCTAAAGGAAATCATGCCAGAGTTTTAAACTCTTACCAAAATTGATCTCTATGACCCATCTTTAAGGCAGAAGAGGCAGAGCAGTAAATAAGAACTATGAGAGACAGCAGGGGTTAGTGTGGAGATCCAAGAATCTGGTACCACATTGTCCAGGTCCAAATTCTAGCCTTACTAGGACATGTCACTCAACATCTCTGCCTCAGTGTCCTCAACTGTAAAACAGAGAAAAGATAACATCTACCTCGTAGGGAGTTGGGATGACTGAGAGTTAAAATGTACAAATTACTTTGAGAAGTACCTAGCTCAGTGCTGTATACATGTTTGCTACCATTCTAAGTGATGGAGGAAGTTTATGTTGGTTCAACTAAGGCTTGCTCATCTTACTTTTCACTTAATAGGAAGGTACTAGCTGGATGAAAGGTTGCTGTGGAATTGTCCCCAAAGGGAGCCACCAGGGGTTCACAGTTTTCCTAGGAAGATGAACCCAGTGCTAGGATGTCCATCCCAAGTATGAGGAATAAGACACCCACAGATGTGACTTCAGAGGCATCACAAGGACCCGACTCTTGAAAATACCTCTAATAACACCTACCATTGTTTTAACCTTCCCTCCCTTCCCATCAGAACTTCTTCTACTCCCTTGATTTATAAAACAAGGTTGTTTTCAAAGGCTGTTTAGGGCAAAAACACACAATACCACTGGTCCTGCTTTAAATTCATGACCACAGATTTTATTATAAACCAGATATCCTGTGATAATTTCTCTCAAAAATTACTTCTCCACTCTCAGGAATGAGGCTTTCACATCTTATCCTTTTGTTTCAGACCTCCATCCAGCCTCCTCTTCCTGCCTTTAGTCTTAGCTGATGGCCACACACCCTTCCATTAGATGTGAGCAGCCAGACCAGAACCATCTGCTGTCCCATCACTAAATGCCCCACACACTCTGCCCTTCCTGTGTCACCAAACTGCTCCTTCTAAGGCCAGCCCCTTATTCTCTCCTTCTCCTCTCACTTACCTTACTCTTAAAATTATCCCTTTTCTTCTCCATCAATTTCTCTCTCTCACTTGGATCATTCCCACCCTGCATGCCCACTAGTCTAAAGACTAAGATGGCTCTTGCCAAGGCTCAGCAACCCCTGTTGTACCCAAAGCATTTATTGCCATCTTATTAGACTTTTGAGTTGAGTAAGCATTCAACCCAGGTACTCACTGCCTCCTTTTGGAAAAACACTTTATTCATTGGTAACCAGGACACCACATTTCCCTGGTTTTCATTTTCCCTCAAACACTAGTTAATGAATGCTTCCTTTCCTTCTTCCTAAATTATAAACATTGGAGTGCTCCAGGGCTCAGTCCTTGATCCTCTTCTCTTTCTTATCTACATTCTCTCTGTGGAATCTCATCCAATCCCCTGGCATTAAATACATATATATCCTGACATCTCCTCAACTGATATCATCAGCTTCCACCTGTTCCCTGAGCTGCTGTCTCTGTGGCAACCCTAAATCTCCACTTGGATGTCTATTCTTGACCTTCTCACCCCTCTCCCCACAAATCTGATTCTTTTCCGGTCTTTACCCATCATTATTGATGGCACCACCATCTACCTAGTGGCTCAGGACAAAACCCTGGGCATCATCCTTATTTCCCCTCATTTCCAACATCTAATCCATCAGCGATTTCTATTAGTTTTACCTAAAAGACATGCCCAGAATTGGACCACTTTTTCCACTTCTTCTGTCACCATTCCAGGCCAAGCCTCCACCATCCCTTCCTTGGACTACACAAGGCTTTGACTCAGTCCTTGTTTCTCTTTTTGCCCACCCTCCCCGCCTCCCCACCCCCCCCGGTCTACTCTCTACAGAGAAATCTTTATAAAATATAAGTTACATGAAGTCACTTCCTTGCTTACAACCTTCCCATAGCTTCCTGAAACACCACAATGACCCAACTCCTGCATGATCTGGTTCCTACCTATCTGTCCTCATCTTCTGTTGTGCTTTCATAGCCCACATTTGCCTTGCTGCTGCTCCACCATACCAAGATTGTCTCCACCCCTTTGAATTTGTTGTTCTTTTTATCTAGAATGTTGCCCAGATTTTCATACAGCTTCCTGTTTCACATCATTCAAATTTTTGCTCACATCTTGTCTCCTCACAAGGGCTTTCACTGAACACCTTGTCAAATGTAACATACCTATCTCCAGGCTTTTAATCTATTTCATTTTTCTTCCTGTTCTTATCACTATTTGAAATTCTATTCATTTATTTACTTTTTTAAATTTGCTTCCTTACTTGGCTTTCAGCTTCATTAGGCCAGGGACTTTGTTTCTCTCATTCACAGTTCTACCCCATTGCCTAGAGCAGTGTCTGGTCCCCAGTCCATGGGGCAGAAAATACATTGTCTTATTACTCAGTTCTCAGGATAACCCCCATTCTAGTTTCATTTACTGTGAAGCAACACTTCCTGTCTCTCTTACAACTCAACGCTCTACATGAGACCTAGCTCCATCAAAAGGACACTCTTGTGGGAGTGGGGCTGGGAGGTGAGTGATGAGAGGTGGTGGCCACAAAGAGGAAGATCAGATTTATAGGAGAGTGTGGTGGCGAAGGCATCTGGTTCCTTTGAGGCAGCTGCAGGAACTTTCTGGAAGCCAGGACTTACTGTCCTGGGTGCCAAGGGGGGATAATGGTAATATTTCACAGAGCAGTTCAGTGGTGTGGTTAGATGTGTCTCTTATTTGCTGTGCTTTGGGCTGGGTAGTATCCAAGCCCAGTTTTCTAACTTTTCTTGAGGTTCTTTATGTTTAATAAATTCTGTGTTGCTTAAATTAGCTACAGTAGGTTTTCCAGTTTATGATTAAAAAATCTGACTAATACAACATGTGTTCAACAACTTTATGTGAAATAAATAAATAAATAAATGAGTAGATTAATTAGCTTCACCTAGGAAGACAGCACGAGGATCAATAGTATGGAATGAGATTTGGTGGAACTGAGTTTCGATGTAATTGGAAAGGAACTGGGGAACGTGGCAGACCCAAATCTGAGTGGCAAGGTGGTAGGAGGGGATGCTCAGTAGAACTCCAGACCCTCAGAACCAAGAGGACAAATGAAATATCTCTAACAATCAAGGCAGGCCCAAATGCCAAACACCAGACCAAACAGGGGTTGATCTGACAGATGTGTGAGAGGGTGGCATTATTGTTTATGAATCATAATTAAGTATCTGACAATGTTCTAAGTACTTTGAAATTCTTTTATAAAACAAATGTCACTATTTTTTTTTCCTGCTCCAGGAAACAATCTCTTCTGTTCAACAGCTTTATGACAACTTAGATGACATAGGAGGATATGCTTATTAAACTTCATGCTGGTATTAAATTCAATGGGGTTAGTTAATTTGCTATTGGCTGCAGTAACAGAAAATGTAGCCCAAACTGGATTTATTCATAAGGTAAATTTATTGGCCTATGTAACTATAATAGGAAAGGTTTTAGGTTACACATAACCCAAAAGGTCAGTGCTGCCACCAAGGATTTAGTTTTCGCCAATATCTCTGCTCTACCTTCTATGTTGTAGAAGTCTGCCTCTCTTCATGGCCACGGGATGGCTGCCAAATATCCTTATTTATAACTGATGTCAGAAAGTTCTCTAATCATTAAACATATATCCCGAGCTTCCCTAGGGACCAACTTGGGTCATGGGCCCATGTCTGAACCAATCACTACAGCCGAGGCTCCAACTGGCTTAGACTAGTCAAGGTCTACTCCTAGATCTGGGATGGGCTCATGGCTGCTACTCTTGCAGTGAATGCTGTAAAGGCAATTCCAACGCCCTTTCCAGAAAGGGTTCTAAAATGGTTCAAGAGAATAATTAAAATTCCAAATGTGACTATGGATTGGAAAGCATGGTCTTTAAAAATGGGGAAAATGAAAACAGTGCATAATAAAAGAACGAACCCGGTACTTAGAGGCAGAATCTAGCTGCCTCACTTGTGCAATTTTAGGCAGATCTCTTAAATTTATTAGTCTCTGTTTCCTCACCTGTAGAAGTGGGATTAAAATACCTGCCTATCTCACAGAAATGTTTTAAAGATGAATAGAGATTGTTTCTGGGATAGTAAAACAAAAAGCACTCCGTTTGCAGAGGTATCCAGGCTATGTTCTTTAGGATCCCTCTGGACACTTGTTACAGCTATATAAAGCCAGTCCTGGGCCATTTCTCTACCGGAGAGCTCTGAACAGGCATCTTCTCGGCTCTAAAGGAGCCTGGGTATATCAGAATAAGTCCAGACCCCTTGGAGAAGATACAGATCTTCAGAGTGACCCAGAAATGGCCGGTATTCGGGAAAGAGGCAAAGATGGATTATTCTTTTTTTTTAATTTTTTAAATTTTTTTAAAGATTTTTATTTATTTGACAGAGAGAGAGATAGCGAGAGCAGGAACACAAGCAGGGGGAGTAGGAGAGGGAGAAGCAGGCT